TGGGCGGGGCCGGAAGGCCGGGGCGGGCGGGGCGTCTCCTGCGGTGGGAATGCAGCAGGGCTGTCGGTGTGAAGGGCAACCGGCTACCTTAACTATTGAAGACAGAAGGTTCCTTTTAGTTTCACTGGGTTTTGTAATTGCTGTTTAGAAAATAAAACAATATACGAATGCTCAAGTTAAGGTTTGCAACCGCTTTCGCTCAGTCCCACTCAGGTACAGCTGAAGCCGCTAAGCTAGAGCCCGGCAAAACGCATGTTTGCCCCAACAGCAAAAGTGCCGAAGATTGTGACTTCCAATTTCACAGTTGGAAAAACAAAATTATAAAAATAATCTGCTCAAATACTTACAAAAAAATTTACACAATATCCCATTCTATTGGTACATTCTGTAATCCTGCAGTCCCTAATTTTACTTTTATTAGGCCTTTTATAATTCTGTCTGTACTAGAAGCAGAGTTTATTTTTTGAAGGCTTCTTTCTGAATCATAGCCCACATCGTAAGTACATTAAAAGAAAACCACACCCTCACATTTACTATAATTTTGCTGTAAAAATTATGCAGAAAGCATGTTCATAAATTACTTTGAAATAACTTTATCATCATGCCAAAAACTACGGGAAATTATTAGCAAAATAACACCAGCAAATCGTCTTCAAAAGGAAGCAAATGATCAAGAGAAAAATTCAGAGTAGAAGGAATAAACAGAATGGACAAGCTTGCTTAAAAAATTTGAAATATCATGTTAATGAATACTCTGAGAAAGCAACAGGGGAAATAGAACAGAGATCTAAAAATAGAATTAAGAGTTAAGAGGATGAAGGAAAGGAGAAAAAAAACCAGAAAGGCAAAAAACGTATACACACACACAAGATAGCTAAAATAATAGTAGTACTGATTGCTATTGGTTTATTGAAAGGAACAGTTAATGCTTAATTTTTTTTATCACTTTTGCATGTTTTTATCTGGTAATCTGAACAACTATGAAGATAATAATATGAGATATAGCAACCATTGTTGATTTTTTATCATCTTGTTTTAAAATGTATCGTTTTAAATGCTTTTAAAAAATTATTCTGTTTAAAAGAAAAACATTGAGTAGAAATATGATTATCAATATCTATACACATAACATTTTTAAATTCATTTTTTAAGTAGTACAGGATCTACAGGAATTCCTCACATCGATTAGACTCCTAATGATCTTCCTGTTTTCAGCCTCCCAATACGCTGGGATTACAGGCGCCGCCAAGCCCACTTTCAATTGCCTTCTCAGTGAGCCCCAGGGGCGGGGCCTGCATAACAAGGCAGGGATGGAACCTTGGCCTCTACTCTGCTCAAGCAGGCGCGTCCACTGAGCCATATGGCCGGTCCTATAACACCGTTTTTAAAAAAACAAAAAACAAAAAACAAAAACATGGGGGGGGGGAATACTTAAGTGAATAATGGGGAACATCTGTAGATTTATAACTACTACTAAAATGATAATGTAGCCATAAATCAGATTTCCAGACATGTGAAAATACCATGATGAGAGGAATGGAGAAAAGGGTTAACAAAATAATACTCTTTGCTGAATTTGAAAAAGGTGGTATTTATGTTACTAGATTTACAAAATATCAACAAAATTGATACAAATGTAGAAAAATTTGACAAAAATAGTACCTAAATTAGAGATGTAAGTATATTTCTTATGACTATTGGTAGATTAAACAAATAATAGCAGTATAATTATCATAGCTAAATCTTGGAAACAACCCAAACGCCCATTAACTAAGGAATGGACAAAAAAGATTTTGTTTTTCCATACAATGGAGTATTTCTCAGCTATAAAGATAAACTCGAGGCTTTTATTGGTACATGGGTGCAACTAGAGCCCATATTCATAAGTGAAATAAATCAGACCCTCATTGTCTTCCTAGTACAAGAATCTGAAAGAGTAAATAAAATCTGAAAGGTACAATAGATACTCTGAAAGAGAAAAAATTATTCAAAGGGAAGGGACAAGTGGGAAGTGGGAAAGGAAAAAAAGAA